AGGGGGACAGCTTGAGGCTCTGACTCAAAAAAAAAAAAAAAAACTAAACATGGTTTGCCATTCTTTAAAAAAAATCTACCAAAAAAAAGAAACGAACTCTGCAAATACATTTCCTCATTCTCATGGAAATTACAGATATTTAAAATAAATAAAAATAAAGAAATAAAGTTAAAACAGAAATAGGGGGTGGAGAAGTATTTAAAAAGCAGCTTCAATCTCCCACACACAAAACTTTTCTTACTCTGGCAATTGCAATAATCACCAGCCTGTCAGACTTAATCCCATCCCAGTACACACCACAGGCTGCCTTCAACTTGCTGCCCACTTATCCATTCAAAGAAGGGAGTGTTTCCAGGGAAACACATATAAATAACTACAGGAAATGCACACTAACACCTACTAAATATTAATCAATCTAGTCCTTCAGTCATAAATACAAACCATTCAAAAATCAGAAGATAATTAGGGGGAAGCAACAGCACAAAAAAGAAGCAAGAAAACAGGTCAACTCACTCTGACAGTAACATAAATAATTCAGGGAAAAAAGTAGAAAATTTTTTAATTCTCATTTTCTTAAATGCAATTCAGTAAAACATGGCCAATGTACAATAAGAATAAGCTTCTACAAATAAGAAAAAAGAACAGAAGAGTTCTTATAAATTAAAACTACAATTTTCCAAATTAAAAAATGCAGCAATGGACAAGCTGAATTGTAAAAGAAAAAGCTAAAGACCAAGTTAAAGGCCTGGAGAAAAGAAAGGAGACAGAATATTAGGATGAAGTACGAGACATATACTATAAATTCAAAAAGCTCAACTAACTTTTAATAGTAGTGGCAAAGAGAGAAAGAGACATTGGAGGGGAACAAATAATAGAAGAAAATTTTCCTGAGCCAAGCAGAAGATTTAAAGGGGTCAACAGGTACCAATCAAGAATCATCTTGAAACATCATAGGGAAATTTCAGAATTCGAAGGACAGAAAAAATCCTAGAAAGAAGAAAAAAAAAGAGACTGACATCAGACCTCTATTTAGTAGCAATTGGGGCTAGAAGACAATAAAAAAATTTCTTCAAAGTTGTGAGGAACAAAATTTGTATAATTTCATAAATATGAAGTACCATGGACTGATAAAACACAGAAAAAAAGACTGTCATTAAACTAGGACATGTCACTGATTGTAAAACACAACACAGTTCCAAAGTTGTTAAAATATGGAGGAAAATACAACTTACTATTGATGAAATACAATGCCTATATTCAGACAAATTATTAATCAATGTGAGGATAAAATAAAGGCATTTTCAAAAACTCCTTAACTCCACTATTCAAATCTCCTCCATGAAAAACTCACTTAAGTAGGTAATCTAGCATATCAGGAAAGAAATCTACACAGATAACATAAGCCACAATAGTCATATATGAGAACAACTACAGGAAACAAAAATATCTACATGTTTCACTACACTGGGATGCTTAAGGAGTATAACATTTAAAGAGCAAAGTTTTGGGGACACTGCGTGATTCTCTCCTATGGATCAAGTCACCTTACCAGTTGTAGAAAGAATTATATTTATATAATCATACCACCAAGTAAATGCTATTCATTGGTTTTCAATTTTTAGAATCTATCTGTGGATGAAACAAGGAATACTCGAGTTAAGAAATGGAATGTAAATGATACAAATAACATCACTAGACAAAAATCCAACAAGTAGGACTGATGCAGCCAAGCACTTTGTCTTATACAGCAGAGTCTGTCAACAGATACTATCCCAAAGTGCTGAATCACGAAACAGAGATATAAGTGCATTTTTATTGGCAATAATTGTTTCTAAAAATTAGGCATAATTTTATAACCTATTCTGTGTTAATTTTTCTTTTTTTTTTTTATGTGCATGTATGGAAAAAAAATCTCCCATACTGTGCAAAGGTAAACCTGGAGAAGTTCCCAGAATGTCATAAATGCTTTCTAAGTAAGAGTTGTCTTGTTCTATGTTTCCTAAAAAGAAAACAAGTTTTCCCAAGATTGGTAGGCATCACTTTTATCAAGTGTACCAAAAAGAGATAAACTGATTTGTATCTATATCACAGAACCAATTTTAAGCTCCCCAAAAGTTAATCAACTAGAAGCTGTACCTGTTAAGTCCTTAGAACACGTAGCCAGCTTTTCCAAGTGACTGTTGATTTTTTCAATAGCTTTGAAGTTCTTATTCCTCTTCAGGACATCCACAGCAGACCGAGACTGTCGATCCAGCAAAGTGGGATCTGCTCCAAAACGCAGGAGCATCTGCACATCCTCTGTTTGTCCTAGAGTATGCCAAAATGAGAAGTGGGGATTGTCATGGTTCCTTCCATAAGGAGATGTCCCCATGAGCGCGCCTCCTCCCAGTGCCCTGCCTGAGAAGCCCAGGGCAAGAGGACCAGGGTCCCTCTGTTTATAGAACCTGAAGTGCCAGGCTCAGGGCAGGCCACCCAACTCCCCTGAAGCCAAGAGTTCTGTATAGAGTGGGAAGGACAATGGCTTTTAAAAGGTTCAGAAGTGCGCTCCTCTCTACCTTTCTCCCTGCTCCTTGGCAACAAGCTAAGAGAGGGGAAATCTCGTTACTAGGCAACAGTTACAGCTGTAAGGATAACAGCAAGCTGTGACTTCAGATTTCTTTATTCCCAAGAAAGGAAATAGAATATTTGTCTAGGAAAAAAAAAAAAAAGCCTATCTGGCAATAGGAAAAGAAAGTGGCAATTGCTTTAGCATCAGGGTTTTTTTGTTGTCACTGTTACCACCCTCAACCTTCTGGCTGTCAACTCTATTTGCTGTTCTGACGTGTCCATTTGCCAAACATCAAGGCATCTCTGTGATTATAGATGCAACAATTTTCAGAATGAAACAGGTACATCTCTGGGGCTACACGGAGACTTATGTAGGCCCACCGAGTTAAACAAATCAATGCCTGATCTCGACCTTTCAAACATAGCTTTCCTAAAATTCATCTCTGACAAGGCACCTTTATTCCAGATTATCTATCATCCCACCCACAGGATTCTACTTTCCCATCACCCTAGACACAACTGTCCTTCTCCCACTTTGCAAAAAATAAATAAATAAAATAAAGTCATACTTCTATTCATGGAGAATCTCACTGTGGTAGGCAGAGTTCTCAGACGTATAGGCACACCTCCTTGATTATACAATCAAGACTAACCTAGGGGCTACTGTGATGAGACTCTGCAAATGTATTTAAGGTCCCAAATCAGCTGACCTTAAGATAGGGTGATCACCCAGGTGGACCTAAATGAATCACATGCATCCTAAAGGTCAGAGTTCCAGAGGTCAGAGATGGAAGAGTTCAAAATGTAGAAGTATGAGAGAGATTTGATACACAAGAAATTCTCTTCTTGTTCTTCTGAGGATAGAGAAGACCACAGGTTTTGTGGCCTATAGAAGCTGAGAGCAGCCTCTGGCTTCCAGACAGCAAGGAAATGGGGATCTCAGTCAAAGAACTAGACTCTGTCACAATCACTTGAACTTGAAAGACAGCCTACAACTCCAGATAAGAACACAGCCAAAGCTAACACCTTAATTTCAGCCTTGCAAAACAAAGAGAAGAAAACTCAGAAGATCATGCCATATTACTGACCTATAGAACTGTGAGCCTATAAATAGGTTTTATTTTAAGCACTTGTATATATGGTCATTTGTTATGTAATATAGAAAACTAATGCAATTACTACAGTATACTATTCCAAAGGAGGTAAAAACTCCTAACCTCCAGAGTATCAACCCAAGGGACAATTAAAACCAGTTGATGCCTGTGCCTGCAAAGCCCTTTTTAAAAAGCACTATAATTCACCCCCTACCTACCTACTTCTAAAATTTTGTTTAATAATTATAGAAAATTTTACTATATTTATGTTGTTTGGATAATCTATATAGTAATAACTTTAGTAATAATTTAATCCAGAAAATATTTAACCCTTAAAGTCTTACAATAACAGGAATCTTTTAAAATTTAAAGTTACCAAAAAAATAAAATAACAAAATTTAAAGTTATACAAGAACATTTGTTCCACAAGAGTATCCCTGAATCAATCAATAAGACATTCAAGCACAGGCGACCTATAGAAGACTGAAACTAGACCCACATCTTTCACCATTAACTAAGATAGACTCTCACTGGATTAAAGATTTAAACTTAAGACATGAAACTGTAAAAATACTATAAGAAAGTGTAGGAAAAACACTTGAAGAAATCGGCCTGGGCGAAAATTTTATGAGGAGGACCCCTCGGGTAATTGAAGCAACATCAAAAATACACTATTGGGACCTGATCAAACTAAAAAGCTTCTGCACAGCCAAGAACATAGTAAATAAAGTAGGTAGACAGCCCTCAGAAAGGGAGAAGATTTTGCAGGTTGTCTCCAACAAAGGTTTAATAACCAGAATCCATAGAGAACTCAAACGTATTAGCAAGAAAAAAAACAAGTGATCCCATCTCAGGGTGGGCAAGGGACTTGAAAAGAAATTTCTCTAGAAAAGATAGGCGCATGGCCTACAGATATATGAAAAAATGTTCTCCATCCTTAATCATCAGAGACATGCAAATCAAAACTACTTTGAGATATCACTCCTAACTCCAGTAAGATTAGCCCATATCACAAAATTCCAAACCAGAGATGTTGGCACGGATGTGGAGAAAAGGGAACACTTCTACACTGCTGGTGGGAATGCAAACTAATTTGTTCCTTTTGGAAAGACATCTGGAGAACACTTAGAGAACTAAAAATAGACCTTCCATTTGATCCTACAATTCCTTTATTAGTTATATATCCAGAAGACCAAAAATCACATTACAACAAAGATATTTGTATCAGAATGTTTACTGCAGCCCAATTCATAATTGCTAGGTCATGGAAGAAGCCCAAGTGCCTACAAATGGATCAATAAATTGTAGTATACGTACACCATGGAATAT